TATATGAGCTTTATGGCATATAGGCTTTTCGTTCCAAAAATTCAACTTCAGGTTTATAGCTTTCGGCTTTGCTTGGCCATATTAAATCGGGTTATACAACCTATAGGCTTTGTTTAGTAAGTTTGACTTGAGCTTTATAGCCATTCAACTTTGCTTGGCCTTGAATCAATCTTCACCAATCATAGGCTTGACTCAAAAAATCTAACTCAGATTCATGGTTGACTTTCTCCATAGGCTTTGCTCGATAAATCCAACTCAAGCTTCATGGCATTCTGAATTTATCATCATGATCAAGCCTCATGGCCTATATAGGCTTTATATAGAAAATTGGACTCATGTTTTCTAGAATTTTGAGTTTGCTCGGTCAACTCAAGAAGAAGTAATGGCCCAATGCTTTTTGCTCAAAAACTGCAATTAGAGCTTTATGGTCTTTAAACTTTGTTTAGCGTTTTGAGTCGAGCTTCGTAACTTGAAGGATTTGCTGCATAATCTAACTAGAACTTTATGGTCTTTCATCATTGCCCAGTCATCTTGAGACAATATTTATGGCCCATAGGCTTTGCTTAGTAATCCAAAGAGACAAATCATTTGGCACTTCGCCTTAATATAAAAATTCAATAAGAAGAACATTAAGCACTAAACTTTTGTTTATAAAAATAATTAGATGACCATTATAGATCTTAGCCTTAGTTTTAGTGAATCTAGAAGAATGTCTACTCGACATTGTGCTTGGGTTAGAAATTCGAGAATAACTAAAATAGGTTATTGTTGTTAGGTCCCTAATAAAAGTGTATTAGTGAAAATCTCTTCATGATGAGCCTTTCGTAAATATTGAATAGAACCCATTTGGTGATACTGGCAGAGATAAAACTTTGAGATAGTTGATGAAAGTTGATAGTGAAGTTGATTCGCCTTTAGATAATTTGAATTAAGAAAATTTGACCCCTACAGATAGAGTTTAGTCTATTTTTTGTTCTTTGTCTCTGAACCTCCTCAAATTACATTATTTTTAGCTCACTCTAACGATTTTGAGAAATTTCATTACTTATAATTTATAACTAAACATATGTTAAGATTTAAATGAGGATAACACTGAAAGAAATATAGTCTATAATAAGAGAGTTTTTTCCTACCCAGAATAAGTAGTGGAAATTCAAATTTTTATTTATGAAAATTGAAAAAAATATATATTTCTTTTGAAGCAAAAAAGGAAGATAATGTTGCCTTTCACATTATTCAATGTATCAATAGTAAGGTAGAAAAGGTGCTATCTCAAATTTAAGATTTTACCTCAACATTATATAAACTTGAATTGTGTTACGCCGGCCCAGGAGGGGCCGGCTGGACCGGTCCAGCCCGGACCGGTCCACTGTTTCTACAGGCGGAAAAAAACGGGGGGAGCGCGATTCTGAGCGGAAACGGGAGGTGAGCCGCGTGGGTTTGGGGAGCGTTTGGAGTGAAATTTTGAATGTTGAGGGCTGTTTTAGGAAGTTTGTAATTGTCCTTTGTCTTTAATTAGGAGTTTTGGGTGTGAATGAGGGATGATCTTGCATTTTGAATATTGTTGAGATCTAGGTTTTCTTGTTCTTGGGCTCTAGCCGTAAGAGTTTTTCCTTCCTCTCGAATCGAAGGAAAGTTGTATCTTACTTGTCTCTTGCATCTACTAATGGAATACAATCATTTGCTATTGTTTTCCTACGTTTTCTCTCAGTTTTTCGCCGCTTTTCCGCTGTTTTTCACTGTTTTCCTGTGCGGGACAGCATTTGGCTTGGAGATTTGCACTAGAGACGCATAGGAAATACTTGATCTCAAGTATTTCCTATCAAATTGCTTTTCTCGAATCTCATTCCCGTACAAAATCCGTGGGAAAAATAAATGAGATAAGAGAAAATATTCATAAACATTAAGTATACAATTGCTTTAATTCATCAAAGTTCCAAGTTCTAGAATACTTTGCCTCCATGTGTTTGGATTCAGTATACAACGTGTTAGTAATCTCCTTAGTGATGAAGAGTCCATCCCAATTTGGCATAACCTTACCCACTCCCTCTGTTTAGCCGATAGCTTTCAACTCTCTTAAGACTGTTTATCATGGTAGGAGTTGAAGAATTTGAATGGCACTTTTGCTTGGGTACTTTCCTTTCAAAATCCTATCTCAACTTTCCCAACAAATCTCGAGCAACAAATTTCTTATGCATTATAACCTAACACAATTCTATCCAACTTAACAATATAGTTGAGGTTATCCACACCCAAGTCAATTAAAAATAGAACTCCACTAAAATGAATGTTTTTTTTTTTTTACCCCAAAGATTGAAAAAAGGGTGTTTTAACCGACATTATGAAGATAATTATAGCACCCTCGTAGAACAAATGGCAGCTTGTTCCCAAAGATTTATTTGCCCTCATAACTTTCTCTTCAGGATGGATTTGTTGGTTGTTTTGACTTTAAGCTGTTAACGCAGCTAGCAAAATACTAGGCCATAAAATTGATAGCTTACGCACCTCTTGGGAACTATTCAAAGTTTTGCTTCAAAGCTAGAAAACAATACCTAGATATGAGAATTATGCTTGCTAAAGTATGCCACACCAACTGACAATAGCACTTTCTACCATGATTTCTTTTAAAACCTTCAAAGGTATTTCAAGCTAATTCCTGAGAAAGATTTCTTCAATAGGTCTCTATCAGATATAACATTAATCTAATTCAATTTCATAGCCTCGTTTTGCTTGGAAGTTTTTCAACATCATGAAGTCAAATACAGGATTGAATCAACAACTAAGCTAATTAATCGACATCAACTCGAGTTCAATGATAAAAGGAATACTCAACTCTTTGATTGTTGTGGCGTGTTAGTTTGCATATTTTGCCAGCAAATTTGCTAGCTTCCTTCCTTCACTTTGGATGTGCCTCACTACTATTTTTTTTAATTTAAAAATCACGATATTCATCATATTCAAGTACTGCCTCAAAATTTACCATCTAACTTCATACTAAAGCAAAATCATATTCAATAAGAGTTGGGAGTCATTGAAGGGTATGAGCATTTGAACTCCTAAGCTAAGGGCAAATATGAGTCTCATGAGCACGATTTCATACTCTACTTGATTGTCAATAATCTCAAATTTGAGTCCAAGGGCATTGAATAATGAGATGTTTATGAAACTCATTTAAAAAGAGGATGTTGCCCAAATAGCAAATGCATCTTTAAGAGCTAACAAAGAATTGCATCTTTTTAAGTTACGTGGGAGAATGAGGCATCTAATACCATCAGATATTGATGGCCTTGAAATTAGCTAAGAGATCAGTCTATTAAGCAAGTCCCTTGTAGGATTTGGGCTATTGGGGCCTTAAATTTTGGAGAGAATGGCTCCTTCAAGATCATGGCAATGGAAATTGAGGATGATGGAACGATGACCATGCAACAATTCGATCCCTCTTCCCAAGTAGGAAGAACTTCGTCTTAGGCCTCAATTCGAACCCACTTCACCTAGCACCAAACTTCGTGAGAATTGAGGAATTCATTGCTTCATCAAGTATAACAACACACTGTAGATAACAAAGAGAGTCTAGCCTCTTCAAGTTTGCTTTCAACAATAGCAATAACATCTATGGAAAAACCATCTAAGAATTTATGCACAAAGTTTTCCAACTTAGCATGGAAAATTCAACTGAGCTTGATGAGCAAAAAACAACTCCAAAAGATTTATCAGAGGCAGGCTAAGTTTACTCCACCATACATGGAGAAAGACCACTAGATTCCTCTTGATTTTTAGTTCTTTGTTTCCTTGTTCCTGCCATCTCACCAAAAGAACCAAATTATGAATGTCTGTGTTTGACAACATTATGTTAAACGAGGAAATTACCTTGAGGATAGGAGATGAAAGAGAGAAGGATTGAGATGGGAAGAATCTTGTGTTAAACAAAGATGCAAATGTCTTACTCATGTATATGGAGATTCTGAAAGATCCCTCAAAGTACATTTTTATAAGCCACATTGTACTTAATTTCCTATACAAAGGAGGAAAGAATCTTGTGATTTCTTCTGTACTTCTGAGTTTTTGTGACAACTAGAACATCAGGGTAGAAAAATAGGATCATGCCAGCTAATTTGGAAGTATGTAACCACATAGAATGTGTGAAATGCACCTTATCAGATAAGGCACATGTAGTTCAGTGATTAGGGAGCACATAATCTCTAGGATCATGAGTTTCACTAAGGCAATCGTTGTATGCCTCACGTTGCTTCTAATTGACTCCAAAGAAGCTCTTTGACAAAAGCATGTTGAGCAATATGAGCCAAGTGAGCAGAGACAATAGGTGGTTGCAATGTCGGATCGGTCATGTCGAGCCCTCTCTGATGGTTATTATGAATGATTCTATTGTCGTCAAATCATGCGGCAATGCAGCTGAGTCGATCTAGCTTATGCTGGATTGAACGATCCTAGATATATAAATTGTATCCCAAACAACTACCAATGCATTGTATGGTCATTCAGCTAAATCTAGTAGATCTTGAAAGTTGTCTTTGATCTCTTTGAAGAATCTTGACAAGCGGACAGATCAAATAACCCACAAATACCATATCACGCTATAAATACTTCGCCTAATAGTTATTCTTATATTCTAATACAATCCATCTTTCATGCATGCATAAAAGCATAGGCATAATTGAGCTTGGATAATTCAAAAGAAAAAAAAACACAAAAAATGCTAGCATTCCAGCAGCAGAGACCATAGAAGATAGATACGGGGTTTAAATCAAGCGGTCAGCGATGCACTGTCCGGTTCCTGCTTATACAAATACAAATAGTTTACTTTTAAAAAAAACAAACAAACGAAATTCGCCATGAAAAAAAATTATTTACGAAATGCCCATGACAGCACCAAAGGGTAAATTAAACACAAAAAATACAACCATGAACGCCATAAAATCAGGAAATTGTCAAAAAAATAAAATAAAATAAAATAAAAATAAAAAACATTTAAAGAAATCTACCTTCCCCCTTCTTCCCCTTCTCCCCAGATCGATAGTCGTTCTTGGAGCAGCGCAGTCTGAAAGGGATACGCATCGCCAGACTAAGATCCATCCCAAAGCCAGAATTACCAGAATATATTGGCATATTAGAGCAATAATTTCCCGAGACGGAAAAGACAAATGGAAAAGCTTGCGGGTAGAATATAGATACACAGGAGGCTGAGAGAGCGCCACAGCAACGGAGCGACCAACACCATAGAGTTCAGCTTCGTCCCCACCGTCGTTTTCATAACTTGAAGCCAAAATCCCGAAGCTATTGACCGCATGGAAGCTTTCCTGCGCCCAGTCCGATCCCGGAACTTTTATTTGGTCCAGTGAACATAAGCTCCTTTACGTTCGGCCGTCAATCCAATCACCCCACTTAGCATGAAGAAAAGTCGTCGACCCGACCCGCTTGACTTTGGATTATCGCACGTGATAATTTTTAAATGAAAGACATCCGGGATTGTTTGAACAGCCACCCTTTAATTTTTTAACGGCGATTCGAATCCCTGTTACTATACACTTCTCTTGTAGTTATCCAGTAATTCCTTCGGAGTTTTTTCAGTGTTTCCGTCGCTGTTCTCCAGCTTTTCCTTCGTATTTCTTCGTATTCGCCGGACGAAAACCTTTGCAGATATAATGCCTGAGGTTATAAACGATGAAAAGATAAAATTTCATTCTTATGATTTTTTTTCTCGTTAAAAATCCAAAAATACGTATGTTGAGGGTTACGATTTACTTTGTTGGGTGTTTATAAAACTCTGTACACATACGAAAACTCGGTACAAATCGGTATTCGGTACTCGGTTCGATTTTGTAGGTATAGATCGGTTTAGGGTGATAAAACTCGGTACACATACGAAAACTTGGTACAAATTGGTATTCGGTACTCGGTTCGATTTTCTAGATATAGATCGGAACTAGGTGAAAAAATTCGGTATACACGTCGTTACAGGATGATAAAACTCGGTACATCTTCGATTTTCTAGGTATAGATCGGTTTAGGGTGATAAAACTCGGTATAACTGTGTATTACAGAACAGAATATATACTGGATATAACTCGGTACAAACTCGGTACTCGGTACTCGGTACTCGGTACTAGGTACTCGGTATGCGGTACTCGGTACTCGGTACTCGTTATTAAAACATCAAACCTTGGAAGGAGCCTTCTTCTGTATATGTCATTGGCACAGCCGATGCCTTGTATTAGGGAATACAATCTCTATCGCCCTAGTCATTGCTTGATCCTGATCAGTGAATATAGTAACTGGATGTTTATTATCCATAATTCTTAAAAATGTATGAAATAACCAACAAAATGAATCAATTGTTTCATCAGATAGAAAGGTCATCCCTAGATGTTTTGCCAATGATTATTGACTCCAATAATAGGGGCACATGCTAAATTATATCGGTTCAAACGGTAGCTAGTATCAAAAATTATTACATCCTCAAAGCAGTCGTAATCCACTCTCCCCAAACCATCTATCCAAAAAAAATTGAACAACCTATCTTTTTCATCAGTTTGCACGTCCCATGCAAATAGATTGTCCTCAGCTGACCGGTTTTTGAACAATTCAATTAACAAATTGCTGTCCCCATTCTCAATTTTTTCTCTTCTCTCCTTCTGAATGTAATTGTATGCATCTCTCTTGGTAAAGCCCAGATTTTCCACACCTCCAACCTCCTCGGATAGATAGGAAAATGCATTTATTGTTCTTATTCCCGCATCAGCCATTGATTTGAGAACAGAGGCATTTTCTTCAGTGATGTGCCTAGATGATCTCAACAAATGTTGATCATCCGGTTTTGCCAAATCATGGTTGTGTGTTTCTACCGAATTTTTGACTGTTCATATCCCTTCTTCGCTAACAGAAAATCTCACCATAGCAGGGCATCCAGTTCTTGTAGTTGATTTTCGAAATTTAACCTTGTGTATTTTTTCTGTTTCCTTCTTGAATCCAGATTTTGAACAGACAAAAACCTTTGATTTTAATTTCCTGGTACCAGGCCAGTATGAAAGATGTTCTTTCCGAACACTAAAGCCATGGTTATGTGCATATTGACAATATTTAACATATGCTTCATTCTCAGATTTGTAAACCCCCTGTGAAAAAAATTTACAATTTTCATTATTACCACGGAATAATTACCTAATACTTACATGAAAAAACAGAACTGTACCCAGTTTTTAATCAGTACTGAGTTATATATAACTCGGTACAAATATATTAAATTTAAAATCTAGGTATATATAAGTCATAAGATAACAAAAACTTATCAATACCGAGTAATAAATATGAATACCGAGCAATACCGAGTTCTCAAAAAACTCGGTATAAGTTCTTCATAACTATAATATCGGAACAAAAATCATTTTCAAGTCATAGAAAATGAAATATAAATATATAGAAGACATAAGTGACGTAACGAGCAATAAAAAATTATGAATACCGAGTTATACGTACAAATACCGAGCAATACCGAGTTCTCAAAAAACTCGGTACAAGTTCTTCATGCGCATAAAAACCAAATTCAAGTCATAAAAATAAATATCGCTCAGTACCTACTTATAAAAAGTCTAGTTACACCCTAATATAATACCGAGCAAGTACCGAGTTATCAGAAGGTAAGGTACAAACAAAAAACAGAGGATCAGACGAAGATAGATGAGAAAATACTTGTAAAAAATCGGAAAAATCCTCATCAAAAGTATAAGTGCCAAATGTTTCGTTGAAATCGTCTAGCTCTTCCAAAGTGACTGAATAAGGTACAAACAAAAAAAGAGGATCAGACGAAGATAGATGAGAAAATACTTGTAAAAAATCGGAAAAATCCTCATCAAAAGTATAAGTGCCAAATGTTTCGTTGAAATCGTCTAGCTCTTCCAAAGTGACTGAATATTCCTTATCATCCATCGCCTTGAAAGCTTCGCGGAAGTTTGCGTAAACCCTAATTATTGTATAACGTTCTGCGTACAGTAGATAATCGGCCAAATGTTTACTCATTACGGTATAGGCCCGCGTATTTTAAAATTTTCCCGCCCATTCGTGAAAAGACACGTGAAATATCAAAATTATAACGGGTTTGGATCGGGTCGTCGGGCTGCTACGTGGCGTTAAATTAATGGTGGCCGAACCTATAGAAACATTCGGTCAGAGGACCTAATTAAATTAATGCAGGGAGAGTTTTTTTTTTTTAAAGAAAAATGCCAATTGAATTAAAAGAAAATTTTATTACAAACTAATTAAAGAAATGTTAAATCATCACATTCCTCCTTTAATAAAGATAGAAAAGGAGGAATATTTAAACAATTAAGATCATCCTAAATAAAATTACTAAACAAAGCATAATTAGCACACAAATCATAATTAGCACACAAATCGACTAATTTATTACAACTCTTTATGAAAAAATTGAATGAAACTTGATTGAACTCTTTTAGAAAAGAAAGATCTTCCTCTAACAAGTGGTTAACCTTCAATTTGTTCATTAAATTTTGAAGCAATTTGATAATATTGACATTGTCACCTTCAAAAATGATACTTCTTACTTCAATCATCCATCTTTGAACAACCTTCTTCAAAGCACGAACCACCATCAGTTCCAATTGGGCTACGTCCCAATGTAAACATTTAAAGCCAAAGGCAAGCAAGAACCTACCTTTATGATATCTGAACACTTCACCAATTCCCGCTTTGTTATGTCTTAAATAAAAGAGTGAGGTAAACCCCCTTGAAATTTAGGGCCTCTCTGGATAAGGTAGGATTTAAATTTATTGAAATTTATAAATTTGGATTTATTTAAGTACTCAGAGTATTAAATCTTAAAAAATTTTGGGCATTATGGAAGTTAAATTCAATTAAATTTTGATATACTATTTAGATATTTATTTCACGATTTAAAATCTATTAGTTATAAAATAAAATTTTAAAAATAATTATTAATAATAAAATTAATGCAAATTATATAATTACAATTAAATTAATCAAATCATACTAAATCATAATTATTATATATTAATACAACATCCAGCTTTTGTCCCATTATGTGGGGTCAACTACGTGAATCCTTTTTCTCCATTGTGCCCTGTTAAAAGTTAAATTCTCATTTAAATCTAATAAAGAAAAAGTCATTTCTAATTTTTTCTAACCAAGTCATTTTAAGTCTACCTCTACCCTTCTTAACACAAGTCAAATCTAATACATCTACTTCCTAGCCGGGTCATCGAAAGGCCGTCGTTTGATGTGACCAAACCATCTAAGATGACTCTCTCTAATCTTATCTTCCACTGGAGCTACTCCAACATTTTCACGTATATGCTCATTTCATATCCTGTCTCTAAGAGTGAAGCCACTCATCCACCTGAGCATCATCATCTCTGCAACACTTAACTTAATATTATGCTTCTCTTTTAGTGTCCAACATTCTGCACCATAAAGCATTGCAGGTATAATCACCATATTATAGAATCTTTCCTTAAGTTTGAGGGGGACTTTCTATCACACAACAACTCAATGAATTCCTCCACTTCAACCATCCAACTTGAATTCTACTAATAATATCCCAATCTATTTTACCATCACTTTGAACAATAGACCCAAGATATCTAAAACATGTACTCTTATTAAAGACTTGATCACCCAAAGTCACAATCCCCCCACTAGAACTATTATTACTAAAATTATATTCAATATATTTAGTTTTAGATCTACTCAAATGAAAGCCTTTAGAGTCTAAGGTTGACCTCCAAAATTTAAGTTTACCTTCAACTCCCTCCCTAGTCTTATCAACATGAAGAATATCATCAGCAAAAAGCATACACTAGGGTATAACCTCTTGCAAATGTCTAGTGAGAGCTTCCATGACTAATGCAAAAAATATATGGGCTTAAGGTTGATCCTTGATGTAATCCAATTGAAATAAAAAAATACTTGGTCAAACCACCTTGTGTCTGGACACAAGTAACAGCACCTGCATACATATCCTTAATGACTTGAATTGTTAACCCCTTTCTTTTCTAGAACTTCCATAGCACATCTCTTTGAACTTTAGCATATGCTTTCTCTAAATAAATAAATATCATATGTAGATCCTCCTTATTCTCTCTATACATCTCCATCAAACCTCTTAATAAATATATATCTTCCATAGTAGACCTACCCAGCATGAATCCAAATTGATTT